GTTGCAGAGGGCGAACCCAAACCGACGATTCGGTGGACCAAGGATGGCATGCCCCTGGATTCCCAACGCTACAACATCTCCGAAAACGGTGTCCACCTGCGACTGTCTTCAGCCGAGGACAACGATGCCGGACGCTTTGCCTGCATTGCCAGCAGTCCCTACGGCGAAATTATGCGCAACTTTGACGTCAAGGTCACCTGTAGGTCACAGTTCAAACCTAAATGCTCATTCTGCATTTTCTTTTGAAAACGATTACTCGACAGGTTGATTTATTCTAGATGACAGGAATGTGTGCCAATTTATAGTAGAACACATATTTAACAGCACATGTTTATTAGGTATACAGACGACACTAAATGTGATGCTAAATTATTTGATAAATCAAAGAGGGTCTAGTAAATGCTTTCAATTTTGGTCAAATATGTTTGCACGCGCGATACTCCCTGCAGTTCTGACTTGAGACCCGTTAGAAGGGGCTTAAGAATGCGCCCGCACCTTTCTATTGCTTTTGCACAGGGGTGTTTTTTCTGTTTCATACGCGTAAATCCATCCTTCGACCAGCAGAACCTACTTCATTGTACTTAAGTCGTGGTAACAGGGACGGCCATCTACCGAGCACCAGCCACACGTAATTGAAGAAAATGAACTTCGCATGCTAAGCATTCAAGAAAGGGAAGGTTGTGTTTGAAAATGCCACCTATTTAAAAATAAAAGGACTCCCTTCCTTGACTTTCAAGTTGGCAATGTTATACTTCTTTTAACAAGGCAACTTCAGCAAAATGAGCCATGTTCAAATGTATTCGGGGAAAAAAACTATGCTTAAATGTATGGCTAATTATCACTATTGATATTTCGTAGACCCACCCCGACTCGATGGAGACGGTCAGAGGCAGTACAGTCTTGAAAGAACAGTTGGAAGCAGTGCGATCCTCGAATGTCTCGTTACCGGTAACCCCACGCCGAAAATCGAATGGTACAAGGATGGCCAATTACTGGATCCCCTACCCTATCGGTGAGATCGCCCATTCATTTAACATAACATTACATATTTTACTGCTAATTTGTTAGTAGACTTTGTTTAAAATATGACATAAATGAAGGTTGCCGTTAATGTCATGCCTCGGCAGGCCATCAATAAATATTATCATTAAATGCTCAAATGCTTTTATCTTTTACAGTTACCGATTTTTCAACCAAAAACGGGAACTGGAAATTCTGTCAATTCAACCTACTGACGCCGGGCGTTACAGATGTTTTGCATCGAATGAAATTGGCTCCTTGGAGGTTAGCATCGATATGACCGTCGGAGGTATGATTCTCCTCTCGCAAACATTTTAGATCTTTAACCATCTTACTCTCCTAGTCGCTTGTTTTTGCAGCTAATAGAATGTCATTTTTCTCCCGTCGTATATAGGTGGTTTCCAAGTAACACAGAATCCAAGTTGTTAAAGCCTCAAC